CTCGCGCTCGCGAGGGGGAGCGAGCTGGCAACGTTACGTTGAGTCAGTGATAAAGACTACGTTTTTGATATACCTAATTAGATCTTGTTTATATTAAATTTTGTTACTGGAGAATAATTTTCGTATCTCATAGAGCTTTGTAGTGGCCGTAAGAACTGCGGTTTAATTTAAAAAAATTTGTACATTCGAAATTCGAAACTTCAAAGCATTCGATGTATACTTATTTATTTACATACCACTGTTGGGTTGGAAGATATTCTTCCGATGCGTCTTCAAGGTCGTCTGGTAGAAATGGCTAATCTGTAATAAGGTTGCCTGTAGTACATTTGCAAATATATTCTGTGTTGCCAATGTAATTTTTTGAGTGCAATGAAAATATCCTTATGTTTATCAGACTTTTAAATTAAATGTTAAAGGGAGATTTATTTCGCAATGTGCAAGCATTACAAACGAAACAATTGATTTGGCAAGGGAAGTACTGTCACCTTACCTATTTCCGACGCCAAGCAGTAATGTCAGCATTACTGTGTTGCGGTTTTTGAAGGGTAAAGGTGCTGGTGAAATTACGGGCACGTCGGACTTACCAACTTATGTCTCAGGGTGACGGGCGCCTGAGTGGCACTGGATCTGTTACGGATAGGCGTGTCGCTCACCACCAGGTCCACGACTTGTACGTACCGTCACTTGATATCATAAAAAGCAAAAGTCTCCATTTTGCAAGTAAATTTTAGAATCTATCAAAAACAACGAAACCATCTTTAGTTGCCATTTCCGCAAAACTATGATCATGTGGGTAGACATGTTATTGCTTATCAGCATCCATTTACTGTACGTTACCAAATGTTTATACGTCTAAAGTAAGCCTGTAACGCAGTGGGAGAGCAGTTGCTTCTCATAGAGAGTTCGACGCTTCGAAGCCCTGTAGCACACTTACACTATTGGTAACGCCAGATAGTTTGTGTCTGTGCTCGCATCTCCTTTTTCTTTCGCTTCCCAATCCGTGCTATGCCAAAGTGGAAGAAATCGCCAGTGACTTAAAAATGAGTGTGATAAAAATGAAAAATCCGCATCTGCATCTGAAGCTGTGTACGCCAGTTTTTACATGGTGCCGTTATCGGTGTCCGCATGTGAAGAGGTGAAGCAGTATACGGGCCTTTCGACGTTTCGGATATAAAGGTTGGTGATAGCACGGCTTCCCATCCCTTTACTTTGCGAGCTCACCTATCCCCCAGCTCTTATAGTAGACTAACAATTTTAAATGAAGTATCCTTTGAGAGACTGGAGACCGTACTAGGCAACTAAACCTGTATTACGGTTGAGCGCGTACTTATGATATGCATATGAATACAAAAACCGGACATACATTTTTTTTTCCTTAAAAAATCTGTGTGTTCGATATTTGTATACATAATCATAACAAAACTAATAGACTTATTTTACAAAATATCTCAATAAACACATGTACTTATTACTTCTTCTTTTTTTATATACCGTCGTAGCGGACTGTCGCCTAAACACTGTGTAGACCCGTGTATAATGAATTATTAAGAATTGTGTCATTAATTTCAATGCTTTTCTTTTTCAGGTAAGACTAAACGGATTCTTTATTTAGTCAAGTTTAAGTTTAAGACGGTAAGTTTCTAGTGTCTCCAAAACTCTAAATATGGAGAGTATATAATTAGAAATTGCAGTACGTTTACTCGTCAATTGCAGATTAGGGAAGTTGAAAATAAAAACCAATACGCAGTGTTAATAAACCACACGCCACATGTGTGAAATTATTATCATAGATTGATAAATTGTATGATTCGATTATTTTCGTCCGCTATTTGTTAGGTATGAGTAATTCGTAGATATTTCGCTTGGTGACACATTTTTATCGCCTTATTGTGTAAATGTAAAGCGGCAACCGATTAGTGACCGAGAAGTGGTAACAGAAACGTGACACTTCCTGCAGCAAGATGAGAAGATGACATCTTCGAAGTTTCGGGCCGTAGAAGGCTGTGTCTAGAGCAAGAAGAAAAGTAGTGGATAAAACCCGACTATAGATGACGATGATATTGTATGCAACGATGATGAGCTCCCTTCTATAGGGAGAGCTTATAAGAGATCTCCTATAGGTTTCTACGAAGGATTTGTTACTGGAAACACTCAGTATTCTGACGTCCACTAACTGCGACGAGGTTTCGATTTTGATGATTCTGCTTTTGTTTGAAAGAGTGTACCTCAGTATTGATCCAATTTCAATAAAATTTAGCAAATCGATTCCACGGAGTTTTGAGTTCAGTTATTCAGTAAAAAAGTTATAATCTTAAAAACCTTTTTGTATAAACCTCAAAGTATCAAATAGTTAATTTTAGTAAATAACCGATATGCCCTCAATTTGTTTGTAGGCCTGATGTTTGACTGTGTAAAGTGAAACTACAACTTTTGTTTCTGTCAACTTGTATACAACCTGTTTTCACATATAAATGAGTTATGAATTATAAACTATACATAATATTTGGAGAGATTTGGAGATCTATTAACCTTAATTACGTTTTAAATCGTAATTTGACGTAAGAAACAAAGGAACTTCCGGTTGAGTCTGTTATATAAAATACTTGAATCTTGAAATTCCTTTAACAACATAAGTAAAGTGATAATTGTATTACAAAACCGGTAACTTGTAGAAATAGAAACAAAATGCGTCAGTGAACGTTCTGGCGAGTGGCGAATTGGCGATGGACCGTCCCCTGTCACTGGCAGGGGAGAATTGCGTAACATTAACAATACCCTGCCATTTTACTTCACTTGTGTTCGATAACGTTAAAAATTTCTTGGAAATTAGACTTTTGGAGATGGCAATTGTCTTTTCTAGTACTTTAATTTGTTATTTTGCCTACGTACGAAAGAAAAAAACGATCGTAGCTCAGTCACGAAACGTTTTAACTTCTCAATGTAGAGTTTGACGGTTTGAATCCCCGCGTTACCGACATTTGTGAATATTTAGTAGCTATAACTCTCCATAACGGCGCGATATAAATCCCACTGCTGTGCACGGGTGTCCTCGAAAAAGAGGATTTAGGATATAGTCCGCCACGCCGGTCTAGTGCGGGTTGGGAACGTGGTTGTGAACCTTGTCGACATCCTGGTTTTTATGAAAGTAAAGTACAAATACCCTACGGATACACTCTCGAAGTCCGTCAACGAAAAGATGGATGGGTGCGTTTGAACTGTCAAATCGCGTTGTCGTACATTCTTAGTCCCGACCCCGATCGAAATTCGAGTGTTTAGGTCATTCGTAGTGGAAAAACGGCCATAAGTACGAATTTCGAATGTGACCATTACTGCGTTCCGAAAGGGTAAGGGTGCTAGTGAAATTACAGGCACATGGAACTTGTCAACTTATGTCTCAGAGTGACAGACGCTGTGGCAGTGCCCCTCGGATCTTTGCTATTTCAAACTCTGAGTGGCGACTATTATGGACAGGCATTTTGCTTACCACTAGGTACACGACTCCGTCACTTGATATTATAAAAAAAAAAGTTAAAAAAAATGGCGCCCGTGAAGCTTGAAACTTATAATGTCAATTCAAACACTGCTTGCATGAATGATATTAAATTCAAAAACATTTCCAATAGTGCTTTTTTGCAGTTATATATAATGTAACGATTGTTCACCATGACACCTGCTGGAAAGTGCAGATGTGGGCAAGGACAAAAGGAAGATACTGTGGATTAATAGTTGTGACGCTGTGATGAAGAATTGAAGAATTTGTCATAAGGTTCATAAAGATTCTTGAAGATGTGTAGAGAAGCCTCCATTGTCACGCCATTTAGTTAATTGAGTCGTTTGGTGGTTATTTCTTCGATTTTAGTGTTAGTTTTCTACGCTGAGCTTACGTAGAAGAAATTGCTGTGTATGTATATGTTACTATATTGTTGCCATCCAATAGTATAGACACAAATTATATTATCCATTATCCGTTACTGTATCTTCGATGTAATTAACATTTTTGTGATTATTATCTTAGTAATAAGTGTATTATAGATTACTTAATTACTAATAATCCACTTCCTATGGAGGAGGAAAGGTTAAGGTAATCGCGTCAGAGATGATAAAACTTGTCGAAGGCTTGTAATATCGCAAAGTTTGCTCCAAGGTAATGAATTAGAAGGACCAATAACGAGGCGCACATGGATTGATATAGTACACAATTATAACCAATCGTCGTGTCTTTTAAATCGTTATTGCTCTCCGTTATGCTCCTTTTACAACTCCTACGCACAAACTCCAATAAACTTCCCCTTAAAACCCTTAATTTCCCCGCAAAAAAAAAAAGAAATAAAAAGTTCAAAACTCGGTTTATTTATCATCGAAATCCATTAATCAAATGAACTACTGGCCACTAATTATGGTTTTATAATCTGCTGAAAATTCGAAATTTAAAAAAGTTGCGCTCGAAAACTTTAACCTCATTACGCGAGCGTCGTGGTAAAACTGGCAACGTCGCTTTTTCTGCTGTGTTGCCAGGGAGAGGAGAGCTTTTTGTCCTTAGTTTTTAGGTACACTAACATAAAGTTCCCGGTCTGCTTAGGTTTAATAAAGTTTCTCAAAGTTAATGAAACAAATTACAATTCGAACCTGACGTCATATTTTGTAAGTTCAAAATTAAAATCTGCTGCAACTAACAATAATGTTCACTATAGCAAATGTTCTGTTGTATGTTTTAATCTGGTTATGATGATTTTAAATTACGTCTAGGAAAAAATCGTACAAGAATTCCAGTAGCAGACAAATTGTTAGTGCTATTTACTAAGCTAATTTAAACATTATTCAATTATTTAAATTTGTATCTATTTACACAAACATCGCCTACCTGAGAAATTTGTGTAACGCAAGGTTTACTTTAACGTTACTAAATAAAACGAAATAAAGCGCGTGAGCGATAGAGCAAAATCGTTGCGCACCCTGGCAACCCCGAGCGAAGTGAGCGGCAGTCGACCATGGCAAGTCCGTCGAATCGGTAGTGTTGTCCCGCGCAGCACGACGCGAAAACTTTGTGATGTAACTAGTGCAGTGCTCAGACAATAGCTGTGTTTACCTTCACCACGATTGTTAACCCCCATTTTATCAGTGAATTTTCTTTTGTGAAACCTCCTTTTTTAATCAAGTGCATTGAATTAACGTTCGTGGAATGGAAATTGAATTTTGCATTTATTCGAAATTTGGAACTTAATTTATTGTGGTTTTAAAAAATTATTGAAGATTTGAGTTTTGTTTTATGGATTGGCAAGTGAGTGTCCTAAAAAGTTTTAGTTTTTTTTTTAAATAGCGTTTGTGGTTCACGGTATCATTTTTGTTTTGTCAAGTATCTCAACAGTTGCAGAATAGGCTGTGTGATTTGACTCGCATAGATTTTAAAAAAGTTATTTGGCTGTATAACTTTGTTTCCGAATTCAAAAATATATGTATTTTTTTTAATAATGTTCGTTTCGGTTGTTTATGGCAAATTTACTTATTATCTGCAGGCCAATTGTTATTCTCACAATTAGAATACATTGACGGGTTTCGTGAAGTTCAAAGTTTTTGAAGTTGAGTTGTTAGTGTGATTGTCTGTCATTATAATAAACCGAAAGTTTAAGGCCTGTATTCCGTTTTATTATTCTAATTTAACGTTCAATTAAGAAAGTTCAGTTGGTGTGCGGTAAAAGCCGAGCCCAGATAACTATTAAAATCTAAATTTAAATAATTTTATTGCCTGTGTCCGATTGAGTTAGAATGATCTGTCCATGAAACGAACAAGATGTTTGTTTTACAACTAATTTTAGAAAACACATTGATTTAGATTTTTATTGACGGGATAGTTACTTCTTATATCTAAATCCCTCTAAAATAACTATTTTTCTCTATATACTGCTAGATCTTAGATTGTAATTTTTCGTCAATAGTTCAATTTTCTGACATTTTCTCGAGGAATCGTTATATCTTTGTGGTGGTCATTTTGAAACTATCTCTTACAATAAAATATTTTAGGGACAATTTTTTTAATAAACAAAATTGATGGCGTATTAACATTCTGCCATATTGTGTACAAACGTTTAATAGTGTTTAATTCTAAAAGACGTAATGTCCATGTCATCAATATCAATTTTTTGAAATTAAATGGTTTTACGCGTGACTGGTCGTAAATCTATATGGATGAAACTAAAAAACTTCCAATCCATAAAAAGATTATCAAACGCTTCTTTCAAATTGAAAGAAATCGAATTAAACTCATTTCAACGCTTAATTGCAATAAAAACAAGATTTTTTGAGATAACCTTATGAATGTGCCATGCCATTTCGGGATTATTTTTTTATTTCAAAAACTGACATCACGTTCACGTACAGTTCTGCAACAAAGTATGTTTACAAAATGTATTTAAAATCCGCCATTTTGGCGAACAGTTTATTTACGATCACTTCAAAAGAAATCCATCGTTATCCAATACATCTTTGCGTCTATTCATTTCATCAGTTCAAAATAAAGGAATAATGTTTTTTTACTACTACTCGTTTAGTTTATTTCTTAAACATTTTTAAGTTTTACTCAACGACGAAGCTAATAAGATAGTTAAAGAGTTTAGTAAATGTTTATGAGTAATTATACGAGCCACAGCTAAACTTCGTGACAACTACAAGTAAACCACAGGGATATGTGTGGCTTCGTAAAGTTGTTGGAGTCCTAAGGATACGGTAAATTAAGTCTGCTTTGTTTTGTGTATCACACTATCGATGGCATACAGTATATTATTGTGGTCTAAAAATTATTGCTGCCACTCGCGATACTAGTAGCCGCCATGCTGAAGTGTGAGGCATGTTTGCTATCGCGATGAAAGTATTTCAGATTCCAGATGTACAGATGTCATGAATAGTACGCCATTGCGATGAGTTCCTTTCGTGCACCCTCTTCTTGCTTTGTCACTAATTGATAAAGTGTAGAGCACTTTTTTTTAAATAAAGGATCATGGTAAGCGACACGCCTGTCTATAAGAGTTGCAGAGCTTTAAATCGTAAAGATCTGTTACTGCTCCTGTCACCCTGCGCAATAAGGCTGACATTACTGCTTGGCGGTAAAAATAGGTAAGGTGGCAGTACTTCCCTGGACGAACACTATCACAAGGAGCTCTGCTGCTACTAAAATCTTGTCCTCATTTCTCTGTCATACATGTGCTTGTATTACTTTGATTATGTATAATATTTGACATTACAATATGTGTAAAGTAAACCATGTGGTAGACAAATACTCAACCTCAAAAATGATACCATGCAATTGTATTGACTCAATAAAAGATTTTACATTATAGTACAGGGTCATGAGCACGTCAAGCTTTATATTTAAATTCAACTTTGCACCGCTTATGATAAGACTAATAGTCACTGCAAATGAAGAAGGCTGTACTATAGCCACGCACGCCAGGCGAATTAGCGATTGCAGTATACCTACAATCTAATACAATTCCAGGGATATGCTCGTCACCAACTGAAATTATTTTTTTCAGCTTTAAAAAAGGAAGAGGTTCTCAATTAGACTATATTTTTCTTGTATGAGGTTACGGGATTAATTAGTGAACCGATTTTGATGATTCTTTTTTGTTTGAAAAGGGGTACCTTAGTAGTGGGGCCGTTCAAATTTGAAGAATATATGCTACCTCTAAGGCTGGCAAATTAGGGGATGAATCCGGTTTATTGGATATCACCCACTTTCCATTAACCGATTTCAATAATAGAACTTGGCAAATGCGTGTAACTCTATAAACTAAAACAAAAATACTAGCAGTAGATCCCCTTATACAAGAGTTCGTTCAGGGAAGTACTGCCATCTTATCTATTTGGCATGGGACTTGTTAACTTATGTCTTACATTGAGGGGCGCAGTGGCTCTCAGATCTTTGCGATTTAAAGCTCTAAGTGGCACTGTTATGGACAGGAGTGTCGCTTACCACCAGGTCCACATCTTATTCGACCCGCCACTTGGTTTCATAAAAAAAAACTTTTAAAGTACTTAGGTTTTTACGTGCTTGTAAAGTCCGTCATCGCGTAGCGGTACTAAAGTGATACTTTTGATGTCCCAATGGACTAAAGTGGTACTTATAAGCCCTAGAGATGCTGTATAGCCACGCCACCCTATTTCTTTTATATGATATTTCACATGACATGTATTTTTTAACGGACTTCAAAAAAAAGGGTGGAGGTTCACAATTCGACTGTACGTTTTTTTTTGTATGTGTTACGCGATAACTTCATTTGTGGACCGAGTTTGATGATTCTTTTTTTATTTTATTGGAAAGAGTAGTGGTCCCATTTAAATTTCAAGAAAATATTCCACCTCTAAGGGTGGCAAACTAGGGGATGAATGACCTTTGAAATCGGTTTTATTTGTGTTTAAAAGAAAAATACAATTAAGTTGGCGTGTCTACGGAGGATTATTTGTGCCCACACCATCAATGCTCAAGTCAGGATTGCACTGGCAACACAAGCACTGGAAATACGACCCTAATGGCAGGGACTTGAGTATGATTTCTAAGCTTTGAATCATACTCAAGTCCTGACTTAAGCATTGAGTAGAGTTCTAGAATACGAACCTCAGCTATTTTTCTGAATTTAACCAATGTACAAACGTTAAAGACGTCGATGGACATTGCAATTATTCCAGTAGGTATATCATCTCTATGAACAAACACAATGAACATAACTCCGTAACACAATACAATCACACATTTGTATCGTTCTTGCCACCGCTATATCGGGCAATCGTTAAATCGATTCTTAATCTGGTAAATGCGATAAAATCTTTATTTATATATTCATTGCTAGTTTGACGTTTTATATCTGTCTTGTAATCGCTGTGATCTCATCTTCATTCTTAACTGGGATAGTTTGTACGAAACCTGTTAAATGCGGTCATCTTTTTTTTTTATAACATCAAGTGACGGGACGAACAAGTCGTGCGCCTGATGAGAAGCTACACGCCTCTCCATAAAAGTTACACTTCCACTCAGAGATTTAAATCGCAAAGATCTGAAGGGCACTGCCACTGCGCCCGACACCTTTGACAAGTCCCATTTGTCTGTAATTTCACCAGCACCCTTACCCTTCAAAACCAGAACACAGTAATGCCAACATTACTGCTTGGCGACAGAAATAAGTAAGGTGGCAGTACTACCCTGGACGAACTCTTTCACAAGAAGCTACAATTGGCACCTATAGTATTTTTTTTCTTTGAAAATTGTCAATTACGCTGATTTTACTTAACAATAAAACTGAAACTAATTAAGATTTAAAAAATAACGGTTATAGGGGGCTGTAGATCTCGTTTTACTGATTCCAGATATGTTAATAACTCGATTTCTTAAAAATGTCGATAACGTCATTTATGATTAGGACGTCGATATAAAGGGTATCAGCAATGAATGACAGTAGAATGGTGAAAGAAATATATAAATCTATGAGTGGAAGGCAACACTGGAATTGGATGGCCACGAAGAACGTTATCGTATCAAATCGAGAGTGTTCATAAAACGATTTGAGTGCGTAGTATGAAGCGAGAAAAATCTGTCAGGGCCGTGCATAATGATGAACGATAGTCTCAGTCTACCCTAATGGGGATCCAAAGGCATTGTATGGCTAAACCTTCTCCTTCGAGGAGACCCGTGTCCAGCAGTGGGACGTAGGGTTGATGATGACGATGATATTTGTTTGGATTTTAATTATATAACCATCTATGAGAAATACCACCATCCACTGATTAGAGATGTTTTAAATAATTGTAATTAAGTTTTATTGAATGTCATAATGTTCCACCACCATGCTATTCAATTATTTTTTGTGAAATTACTCCACTAGTTTGCTATAATTATTAAACAAAGATCGAACAATTAGAAAAAATACACTTCGATCCGGCTGGATTCAAACCAACGTCTCCTAGCAAACCGTGCCAGAAGTGGTTAGTTGAGTGATGATGACACTTTGCGTTTTTAATATTATCGCCTCGTTGTCGACCCAACTGTTAGCAGTAGAGCTCCATGTGAAAGAGTTTATCCAGGGAAGTACTGGCCACCGTACTTACTTCCGCCGCCAAGCAGTAATGTCATCATTGCTTAAACTACAAGCACATGGGTCTTGTCTAGCTCAGGTCTTTGCGATTTAAAGCTCTTAGTGGCACTGGAAATGTTATAAGTTGGTGTGACGCATACCACTAGGCATAAGAAGTTTCCTCCGTTACTTAGCATCATTAAAAAAGTCCTTTTGTGTT